AAACTGAGAAGTGGATGAGAAACTCCTGCAAGTTATTTAGCAGCATTCAATGAGCTTTTAGCCAGGCTTACATCCCAGAGAAATTTCCAATAGATTTCACCTATGCAGAGCTCATTCCATTTCCTGAGAGCACCTGGAAATGTAGTTGCTCTTTGCAGGCATAGTGAAGGATAGAACTGACTCATCTTCTCCAGCAGACTTGAAAGAAGGATGAAGAGGCAATGAGGGAAAAAGTAAGTGTACTGCAGAGAATGAACTTGGAGATATTTTGTTTATATTCTATATCTCTGGGTTGTGGAATTTTCTAAGTGTTGTTAAATTTAGTAGAAAGTTACTAAAGCTGATGTGTTGTGACTACCTCTGAGTGCTTGCCAGCACCCTTGTGTGTAAATGAAGAAACAAAAGTGTCTGTCATCACTTGGCAGATTTCCTGGTTATTTCAAGTAGTGCTATGCTGTGGGAGAAGTGAGCAGAGAATTGCAGATAATTTTAAAAATGAACTTTTACCAGTTGGCAAAGTGGCTGACACAAATATCTCTGTAATGCCTGTGGTGCTTCCTGGGTTTTTGTGCAAAACCTTCAGATGTCCAAAATGTATGTCAGTAAGTTGGAATTGAAAGGGCCAGGAAGGGCAGTGCTGTTACATGTTGGTTTAGAATTGCCCAATGTCCCTACATTAATGGGCACCTGTGACCTGGGAGATTTCCAGCTGATGTATACAACTACTGCTATATAGTTAAAAACTGAAATTTGACTTGCTGTGAACTATCAAAAAGTAGAAAATATTCTTTGGACTGTGAGTAGGAACAAGATTCTCCCCCCAACCCCTTAATCTTTTAATTTGGTTTTCTTCCTGTTGCCTCTTCATTTATGATTTTTTTCTTATACTATGCTAGTGAATCAGATGTCTGTAATAGCTTTTGGCTTCAAGCTCTCGTCCTATTTTTGCAAGAAATTGTGAGTTGAGGTTCCATAGAGTAAGCATTGAACTGGCAGACCATCTGGGTTCTATTTCTCATTTTTCCTAGATTAAGTGTGTAGAGCTGCTTTTCAGGCTAAGTTATCTAAGTTTCTGGCTCACATGTGAAATATTTTCACATCTGGTGTGGTTCCAGCACTGCTGCAAAGGGTGCTGGCTTGGTGCCTTCTAGGAGCTTCAGCAGTACTCTGGATACTCTCTGTGAATGCTTTGATGTTAGGTTCTCTGCACCTTGGTTTACCCATATGTGGATTTAATAAATTATGGAGACATACATTAGGAATGTATCACATAAATGTAGCTTCCTGGAACCATTCTGTGGGTTTGGCAGCAGCTTTATCCCTTTGATTCCACTTTAGTCCCTCAGCCAAAACGGTGAATGTGTATGTTCTACCTCTATTACCTGGCACTTTTAAAATCTGCATACCTTATACTATGCAAGTGCTACTTTAGTCACTGTGTGGTTGGAGTGAGATGTAGCTTTCAACATTACCCTGAAATGCTGACAAACTTGGCTTCCTGTGACTTTATTGAAAAGGGTTACTTCAGGAGAGCCCTGAAGTGCTTTAGTAAGGCTTGTCACTGTAGAAATCATATTTCCTGTATTCTTTCTGTCCTTTAGACCTTTGAAATCCTTTCAGGATAAACCTCTGTTCTGTTTTTCTGGGAAAAGTTTGTGTCATGTTACTGCTCAAGGACAGAACATACATTTCACAAGGATGGGGATTTCCATGTAAGCACATGATGTGTACTTGGACTTGGGACGTGTAAGATTCAAATTCTTCCTGAATAGGTGATGACAGTAATACTCACACCCACTCATGTTTTAAAGGTGGCATTTTGTGAGAATTTTTTTTTTTTGTCTCCTTCAGTGGAATCACTCACATTTCCTGGGTAGTTAGCAAAAGGATGTAGAAATATATCCTGCTCCTATTTTCCAGTTTGCTGCACTTTACTATCTAATTCTCAGCTGAAGCTGGGAGGAGGATGCCGCCAGCCCTGTCTTCACTGCAAATTGTTTTAATTAGTTTGATAGTCCAGCTGTCTAATATAACTGTCTGTCCTGCTAAATGCTGCACAGCAAGTTGCCTTCTGAGGGCCTGTTCCTTGTGATGATTGGGTTTAGAGTGGACTGGGAAAACTAAAATAGTGGTGGTGTAGGTTTGTTCATATGTGGTGAAGGCTTAGGAACAGTTTTGACTCAAATTCTTAAATGGGCTAGTATGGATGTGCCTTCCTTCTGAGCCGCAATTTGTTTTAAGTATGTCATGTTCTTTATTTCAATGGACTGGTGGTTTTTTTCTCCTCTGTTATTTTGAAAAGTTCAGGATTCACAGTGACATTGCTGTCATGCTCTGCATGAAACAGGGCAAGAGCAACGGTAAAACTGGCCTCTTCTGAAAAGTTATCTACTGAATTTAACAGGTGACTATTTTTATCACAGACCATAAATGGTTAATTTACTTGAAGATAACAAAATTCTTCAGAGGTATATATAGAAACAAAACTGAGGTATAGTAACCTCAACATTACACAAACACAACATTAAAAATGAAGTTTTAAAAGATCTAATTCAAATACAGTAGCATTGCCTTTTGAAGAGTAGCAGATCTACATTTCTTCATTATATGGGTGGTAGAATCAACCCTGAAGCCACCTCCAGGAAGGCGAGCACTGCAGCCCTGGCTGCTGCTCCCATGGGGGGGCCTCTGACAACCAGGGCACCCCGAGACATCTCCTGCAAGAACTCTCCAGCTCCTACTCAAACCTCTGTACAGGTCCTGCATCTTCTCATTTGATAACTTCTCATCTCTTTTTGTTTGCTTTGAATCTGGCTCATATGATTTTAATTTGTTATATCCTAGTTTTTATCCAGAAAGATAGTGAGCATCCACCCTCGATGTTGCTAAAAACCTGCATCGTGCTCATGTACAGGGAGATTTTTACCCACAGCTGTGTGTTGTTCTCATTTAGGTGTATTTAATACCCACTTTTAAAAACTGAAAAGTATTAAGAATGGGCAAGTGCTTTTCTGATCTTTTCAGTGAAGTAATCGTTTCCTTTTCTGTGTAGAAGTGCCTGTGGTATCTAGGCAATATTGCAGTAAAAGCCCCTGCGAGCTCACACAAGGAGAGGAAACTCTGAACTTCTGTCTCCCCACTCTCCTGCTCGCTTTTGCAGGTCCTGAAAGCAGCCAGAGTGAGCACTAATTGAGGTTTGTACATTGGGAGTTCTTCTGGGCAATCAGGGTATCATTTCTCTTTATTTTGTTGTGATACTAAGAATGATATGCCTAGCCTTGTATGTCTTAAATGAATTGTGGAACCCAAGGAGCTTTGGCACTGAGGCAGGACCTGGACCTTGCTCTGGCTTGCTTCGGTCAGAGCCATGGATCAGATTTGTCATTGAGAAGCAGAGTTTGAGAAGCTCCAGGGATAGCAGGCAAATATTTAATAGGTCAAAAAAATCCATAGCCCATTTGTAAACCTTTTAGGAAGGCAAAGAGGACACACATTATAACATAAATTTATTTCTGAATAAATTGCAACATTAAGAACTACTGTACAGAGAAACTGCATCACACTGTTACAACTCTGTCATGATATTTGTGCTTTGTAAACATTTATTCTATCACAACAAAAAATTGTATACTGACAACTAACTGTATTTGGTTTAAAAAGAAATACACTTTCCCATTTATTAACTCAAACAAAGCACTTTAAGTCTATAATTCTCAGTGCTTTTCATTAGCTCAGAAATGCTGAGCATTCAGAGTTGCCACTCATGTTAGTGGGAGTTACAGATGCTCAGCAGTTCTTAGGGGTTGGCCCAGTGACTCCAGTTATGTTCAGTGTTTGCAATAAACTGACCTTTATTTTGAGTGTAAAGTGACCTCTCCTGTTCTGTTTATACTGCAGAGTAGATTGAGAATTACTCATGTTATTTAATGCTCCACATTAGATTTTAAATCACTAACAATTTGCATTTTGTAACAAATGAGTGATGCAATCATGCAAGTTTTGTAATGGTTTTAAAGATAAAACTGAGAATATGGCTCTTTTTCATAAATTATTTAAAACTACTTCAAAATTTTCAAAAATATTTAGTGCAAAAGGATAGGTTTTTTTTCAAGAAATATTACAGAAGCATATACTGTTATATGGAAAATAAAACTTCTCTTAAATATTTTTTTTTTTGGGAAAAGCAGGCAGGTATTCTATTCCACTATTTGGGTAGAAGAGATGAAAAGCAAGTGTTTTCAAAATAACAAACTGCAGAATAGCTGTGATGTCACAAGGTTTTTTTACCTTTAAATTCACACCTGGTCTCTTTGGCAGAGTGAAGAGAATGTATTAGTAAGTGCATGATACCAACAGATCATCTCAACAGGACAATAGCAGAGTATATCTTATCAAACAATTATAGAAATGTTATAGGAATGTGAACTCTCACATATAGTCCCAACAGTTATCTTAAAAATGAACACATATGTCTGCTAAAATTTTAACAAACATTTTGCTTTCTTGTAAGTTACAAAAATTAACATTGAGATTTTTAGGACAAGATGGTGCTCTTTTCAGATATGCATTTCTTCACCTCATTAACAATTTATTCGATTACACTAAAATTAAAATAGTACTTTTTTACTGCTTTTAACTGATATGTAGAATGTTACACAGTGCTTTCAGCAGAAGCACTTTAGGTAACAACTGTACTATCATGATTCCCTTTTGCCAGGCAGGGACACTGAGGCACAGAGGTGAAATGACTCGCCCAAGGTCACAGGGCTGGGGCAGGACAGGGTTTGAGAATTGCTGCCCTGGCTTGCAGAGCTGCATGCTGCAATCTAGCAGGTTTAGCTGTACTGAACTGCACTGCTTCCCAGGGAAAAGGAATCAGCTTTTTAAGGAAAGTAACTGAGAGACTGGATTTTATTTCTTTGGGAAGGTTGCAGGAATCAGGAACAGCTATGGAAAAGAAATAAACACATGGGAAGAAACTGAAATGTGTTTTCAGCAGCTTTTTATTGTCTTGTCTAACTGCAAAGGTGTTACGTGTTCAAAAGCTTTTTTACACCTTAGCAGATTATGGGGATTTCAAAAACCCATAAATTCTACTTATCTAGGGACAAGGGTGTCTCCAGGCATTCTGAAACACACTCTACTTCTAACAGTTAAACTGTACAAATATCAGTGATGTTTTAAAACTGGATGTTAGGGTACTATCTCATTTTACCCTAATCAAATTGATGAAAATTGAATATAGTCGATAATTAAGCCTTTACTGTGTAGTTCATTAATTCAAAAGGCAAAAAATCCATCCCCTCATAGCACAGTGCATCCTATAGCACAACATGTCAAGAGTCCCTCATGACACAGAAAGACACAATAAATTCGGGTTCACTTTGCTCCTGGGTCAGTTGTGGCACGGACTTGTGCTGTTCTTGTAGAGTTTGTACATCTTTGCACACTTTATTCAGTGATGTTCAGAAATCAGAGCATTACACAAACCACTGCTTATTTAAACTGGAACAAAACAGAAAAGCTGAACCAGCAAAGCTTGTTAACCCAGCTCCAGCAGCCAGTCAAACAGGCTGGGTGTGCTCCCTCTGCCCTCCTCGCTGAGCTTGCAGTACTGCACCACGGCTTGGAAGATGTCCCCCACTTTCCAGGACTTCCGCTGAACTAACTGCACCACGTCTAGAAACTAAATTAAAAAAACACAATGAAATACATGTGGAATTTGGTGAACACTTTCTAAGGTTTTGTGGAATGCATACACACAAACTCTTGTTGGCCCACCCTTTGTAAATGCACAGCTGTATGAGGGAGTGGACACCATTCAGTGCACAGCAACATCAATGTTCTTGTTATTCATAAAAACTTCATTTCTCAGTTCCATAGCTCCCCGAAGACTGATGGGCTCTCATGACATTTTCTAAACTAACTGCTTCTGTCAATTATTTCTTATTTATTGTAATTAAAGTAAAAACAGATAAAGTCAGTTTGATAAAGGATCACTATTTGCCATGTTATCAACAACTCATTGTCAAATAATGGAAGTGTGATTATTCATCTTAAAAAATATTTTTGCATTACCACTAGCTATATTTTACTTTATGCCTAATTTTCTGTATTTCCATATATACGTCCTGTAGTATTTTAAATCTTCAAATGGTACTGGTGAGAGAGAATTCTGTGTAATTTTGTCACATGAAGACATTTATCATAGTTGTGTTTTAAACATAGTATCTGTGTTTGACCATTTTTTTTAAATTTCCAGAGAAACCAGAGTTTAAATATATTGTTCTTAAGCAGCTGTAAAAAAATCCTGAGTTTTGTCCACTTGGTACTTAATAATGGGCTTCACAGGGTCATCCATCTGGTCCCTTTTTCTTTTGAAGCACATAAATGAAAATCAAAGCTTTTCACTTCTTTGAATTTCACAGTAATAATTAGTTTGCTCCTTCTGTTTGTAGTTTTAAAGCATAAAAGATTGTGTCTCTAGTTAGTGTAACTGTTTGCTATTTACATACTTCAGCCTAAACTTTTAATATGTATTTTAATGATATTTAATAGGCACGTGATTTCCATGAACGCTGTTGTAGGCAGGATGTGCTTCATTATTCTCTAGTGTATTTTTGCAATTGAATTAACTGTTTGCCAAAGCACATGGGTAAAGCTGACAGCTGTTTCTTTAATTAGATGCAATTTGGACTGTTGCTGTTGAATGCATTTTAAATTATGTTTATGATTCCCAAATGCATGTACTCAAGAAAATCAAACAATATCTCTGCTACTCAAAATGATCTTCCCATAAGAGACCAAAATACTGATTTGTAATACTTTTTTCATTAATTGACTTAACTACTAACATGTTTTTAAGTCTTAAAGCTTAAGCTCTCTTGCTGATCTTGGCAATGGGTCTCTTTTGGTCTTTCCTGAAACGCTGTGGTTGGTACTTGGTGGGGTCTACAAAGGAGCACCAGCTGATCATTCAGGAATAGAGTTTGCACTTCTTGTGGCTGTTTTCGATTTCAGTGCTGCTCCTGGCTCTGGCTTGCTCTCACACCTCAGGAGGTTTCTCAGTGATCTGTGTCTGTCCACTCTCTCTGCAAAGAGACTTCTGCCCCCACAAGCTGTATCCCCATCTGGAGCAATTTATGAGCAGCCAGGCACAGGTTCAGACTGACCTGAGGCTGCTGTAATTGGTGTTACAGGCAAGGCAGAACCAGCATAAGGACTGAAAATCTTAAGTCCAAACATTTCACGTTATAGTGACTAAGTAGCAGATCATTGTACATGTTATATCTACACACAAATGTTTTTTATTTTTATTTTTTAAACCTTTATACTTAAACTCCATGTAAACCATGTGCAACCTTTCAAATGCAGCCACATAAAGGACTGTTAATTCTGCCTTGGGCATTAGTATGTATTAGTAATTAGTATTAGTATGTAATGTATCATTGATATGAAAAAGTGATTTGTCAAAGCATGCTATAGAGACTTCGGAGGTGACATTTTCTTATGCCATAGACAATCTACTACATATTTCACATACCTTAAGTTCTGACACACCTGTCCTCTCATTCCTTTCTCTCACCAACACTAGTGTTGTCATCTTGCTGTAATGAAGATGTTTTTGCATCTGCTTTTAAGCTCAATAACTTCAATAAATCATAACTGCTACAGTTATGTAGACATTAATGGTATGCCCAATTCTGTAAACACTACCTTTTCAATTCTGTTTTCCTGAGATTTCTTAAAATAGATAGTTGGAATTCCAAGTTCAGAAGCAGCTATCCACTGCAGGGTAGCTCGCAGCTCCACGTCGGGGCACTCTGGTTCCAGATCAAAGTTTATCACCAGGAGGTCCTTTTGACAGTTGGCTGTTCCCACTGAAAGCTCAGAAGTACTTTCTGGAAAAATAATCCCACCAGTTACTGTGCAATTTCCTGTGTTATCTTCAAACTGTATGCTTTAAGTGATATGGTTCAACTTACCCTCAGTGTTTTCTGTCTGTTCTTTAAGGAAAACCTTTTCTTCTACTAATTCACTTAGAAACAAACAACAACAAAGCTTATTAGTCATACTTAGGAACAGTCTACAACATTGCTTCATGATGAATAAACTTCTCCCTCAATGCAAGACCTAGAAAACTGCAAGAAAAAGGTTACACATGATGAAACAATAAAATGCTGAATATATTTCATTATTTAATCTGTGAATCAGGAAAAACTGTATTGCAGCATTTTTCTGTAGCAGGATGAACTGCTGGTATTAGTTATATCATGTATTAGGTTTCACCAGGATCTGTGTATCTTTACAGTTCACGTAATGACAAGCAAATGACATTATGGTAAGACACAGCAAGTCTCATAACCAGGGTGGAAATGCTGAATTTCCAATGTCTGTATTTTGCTGTGACAATTTTCTGACGTCACTGACTTCAGGAAGTTGCCATGTTCAGTATGTGATGTACAGTCTGTATGTTTGTGCAGTGGGTGTGCCCTGGCTGCATAATGACATTCACCAGCTGGCAGGTTGTACCAAGATCTTTAGGCAGGATGTACTTGCACATCTCTTGATAATTAAATTGTGTGTTCAGTAGAAAAATTCCCAGAAACAATAGGTAAAATGTACTGTGGGCCAAATTATTACTGTTATTATTAGTGAGAAGAATGCTATTGGTTTTTTTAAAATTGCTTTTAATTGGTCCTTATTTGCTTGACCTTCCTTGGTATTGCAGTAGAGTTTTGATAATATTTGAAGTTATTCAGGGAAGAAGGTTCAATGACAGAAAACTGTCTTCTAGACAGGGTGGTTGATGGTTCTGTGTTCTCAAGAGATCCACCTGACTGGGTTTTCCTGTAATTTTTCACTGTCTGGTGCCCTCACTCTGCACAGACACCTGCATGTGCTTTTTTCTGAAAGCATGGGCAGGCACAGCAGCAGGTGCAAAGCAGGGCTTGGCACGGTTTTAGTGGCGTAAATGATTTGCAGTTAAAATTGGACTAAACATCAAGTCTCACTTCAGTGACTACTTACTTAATCATAGGAGAAGATGGCACGTTCTCCTGATAAATTTCCAGGTCCATAATGCCAAGACTGCTAGTTGTACTGCTGTTGCCATTGCTGACAAAGCAAAAGTTTAAGTATTAGTGCCAAGCTGTGCTGAACATGTCTCCATACATCTTCTAAAAATTTATTTCCGTACAAAACAAAGTGGGGAGGAGCCCTGGTCCATAAAATCAGTTGAGCTCAGCAAGTGGTTCCCTAAATGAAGCACACTACTCTGCTCAAAGTAATGAGGTTTTTATTCAAATAGTTCTAGACTGAGCATGTATCAAGTGCATCAATGCATCAAGTTATGCTGTAAATTGGAGGGGAAAAAAGTGGACTCTCTTCTTGTGAATGGCTTCTGCAATGAACACTTGGTCTCAAACAAAAACCGAGTCTGCCTGAATCCCTGAAAAGAAGCATTAGCAGGTACAGAGATGTCCTGCAAGAAGCCTGCAAAGATCCAGCTCCCTCTGAATAGGGAGTTCAAGCAAGGCACTGGCTGCCCATGATACACTTACCTGCAGGGTGAGTCCACACTGGGAACCAGCAGCAGTGTCAGTGTGTTACATCATACCCCAAACACTGTTTGGGATCTGATGGAACCCACAGGTACAGAGATGGCCCTTCATGTTTGTGACTACTCTGAAAGACTGAGATTATAATCAAAGCCAATGTTCACTGGGACCACAAATACACAGAAGTATTCTCTTTGGCTTCTTCACAAGGATGAAGCAGCAAACTTGGGGATATTTGGAAAAAATATTACTAGTTCACTTTATAACATCATTATAAATGTGACAGTGAATGTTTATGCAGGTACTGTAATAGTCTCACGGACAAGTTGTGAATTTGCTGCCTGCAAGTCAATTACCATGAACAAATTCTGTGTGGCAAGTCACTGTGAACCACATAATTTTTACTGAAAAACCGACTAATAGTATTTTCCCCTACACTGGAAGGATTGATTAGACAGTTCCTTTCCCCATCAGGGTGTTCTGAGACATTGTCAGCATGCCATGCATTCAGACTTGCTGTAGCAATTTCTGTTCCAGTGCAGAGCTGAAAGGTGCAATACTTCAGCTCTCTCAGACCAAGGACTTTGTTAAAGGTTGATAGTGTAATAACAGGATGAATGTTCAGCTGCACTGACAGCCATGTTTTGTTCAGTAATTTCAGCCAGCCAACAGTGCTCTCTGACAGAGACTCTTTCTTTTCCCTGCTTCATTACCATAATGTCTTCCCTCCTTGTCATCTTAATACTCAAGAGAAAGATGTAATTACTTGATAATATTTTAAAACATGGTCTAAGAGCATGTGAAGTAAAAACCTTACTCAATTTGATGCTGTGAAAGGGCTGAAGTCCAACTACCATCGCTCTATATGAACTCCATGGACTAAGTAACATTTACACACATTTGTCCTGACTTGAAAAAATCAGAACGTAGGAGCTCTTGAATTTTTCTGTCTACTCAGGGAAAAATTGGTCATCCTCTCTTAATTTGCACCCCTGTGCCAGTATAAGCAGATCAGGGCTCAATCTTTGTTCTCAGTGCATAGATTTCTGGTGGGAATGGCAGTCTTGTCAATCTAAGGAGGTGCCAAAATAAACATTATGCAAACAACAGCAAATAAATCAAAAGCAGGACTGTAGCAATTAACTTATCCAGTGGCCTTTTTGCTGTAGGATTGAGACACTTCAGTGGTGCCAGGAGGTTTTTTTCTTTGTCTGAATTAAGCTACTCACCAGTAGTAAAAAGACCTGGCTGAGAATCAGAGCAGTTTTTTTTCCCTTATTAAAAAATAAAGAGATGAAGTCTGCCATTAGACATCCTCTACAGTATTCTGAGTAAATCTCGAGCTGTTGCCTCTCCCTGCTGATGCAGGGTGGGCTTGGTGGGCAGAGCACAGTGTACAGTGAGAAGACACAACGTGGGTACCTCAGGGAGCGCTCGCTGAGCTGCAGGTAACTGCTGGTGTCATCAGGATTGTCCTCATCGTTGGCAAGCTGGGACCAGCTGCCAGTGCTTTCTTCACTGCTGCTCAGATGGGCTGGGAATTCTTCAGCTGCCTTCGTGTCTCCTATGATTTCAGCATCCGATCTGCTCTGAGGACTGGTGCTGGCAGGGTGATAGGGGAAGCACATTGATATTGTAATATAGGCAAACAAACTGGTGCCACCAATCCTCAGCCAATGCTGCTCATTAAAGTCAACCAAGCTGCAGAATTATAGACATGCAGAAGACTGGACAAGCTTATAATTTATACAGAGAGTCCAGCAGAACATATGGCCTGAGATGCTCTTAAAAAAGAACTTTCTTATGACTGCTATAAATAAACACAAACCCTAGATTTAAGCATGCATAGAAAAGTTTTAGCCTGTACAAAAAGATTTAGCATGTATAAAAAATCTGATCACTGAAAAGGTTTACTGCTTAATGCACTTCAGTCAATCCGTGGTTGAAATATGTGGTAGATGGTACTGCAGAACGACAGCATTTCTTGGAAATATATATTGCTACTAAATCCCCGTCCTGCTCATGGGTGAATAAGTTTCTTGACAGTGTTTTCTACTTTGTTAAAATTATAGAACCAAAATAAGTGAAAATAGGAAAATATTGTGGGTTGTGAATCACCAATGATTCTGAGCATGCCGTTTTCTTAGGATCTTCACTGCTTAGGCTGGGGAGGGACAAAATATTGCAACAGTCAGAAACCAGACTGAGTTTAGAAAGTACAGGGTTAAGGGAAAAATGCTTTCTAATTGACACTTGACATATGTCACATGTGTGTATGCCATATGTATGTACACATGTTCTCACAAACACACACAAAAAAAGAAACTACATTTTTGCTAAGTTTTTAGAGCTAAACTGAGCTTTTGATGCAAAGAAAAATAACAATCAATCCCTCCAATAATTGGCACTGTAGTACCAGAATAACAAGTAAAGCAAAACTGTAGTTTTGTTATATTCACTGGATAGTCTGCATTTGTAATTTAGGGATTAAAGCAATGCTATGTTCTGTACTGACAATACAGCACAGATCTGCAGGATCTCTCTAGAGAAGTTCTTGCCTTCAGGCCTTTATCTGTAGTTATGGTTAAGGCATCTGCCTTCAGTTAAAGCAGGAATTCACACCAGAAATTCTACTGCTCCTGAGTAATTACCTTGATTAGGCATCTACTGAGACAATACCATTGTGGGTATCTCTTTTTTCCAAGCTCTCACTCTCCGAAGTTGCTGCATTAATGCTGGATGACAGAGAGATGCAGCCTGGGCAGGGGAATGGGACCTGCTTGCCTGGGGCTGTGCTCTCCTGGCAATCAGCTCTGCCAAACCCCTGAGCCCTCAGGACTCTGCCCCTGCACTCTCTGACACCAGGGCACAGGACAGGGGTGCTGCTCAGGTTCTTAGTACAGGACAGGTGGCTTCTGATACTTGGTCCAAAACACAAGAGATTTGTGTGGGTGATGTTTCTTGGCATTTTGGGTTTTGTTTGATTCATTATGCAATTACATCTCACACCAGCGATGCTTTGAACTGACAGTTCCCCACTTGTGAACAGTCACTTGGAACAGTTTCTGTGTAACTGTGACAGGACTGGCTCTGTTGCACTGCCTACATATAAGAAACAGCTTTTTTATCATTGCTGAAGGCCTATGTGGCTTTTTTTTCCCCGACTCTATATCTGCTTGATATTCTGCCTGGGCTCCTATGTACCTGTACCTGTATCTGAACTAGCAAGTAATTTCATGCAGTAGGAGTGGATCAAAGCAATTTTTTTTATAGCTACATTATATATATTTTTAGGTTTTCACTTCTGCCTAGACTTAGTCCAGACAGCTATGCCACAAATGATTCAGATTTGTGTGAAGAACCTCTGGAGGCTTTGCCTTCCCAGCAGGGATACAAGCACATCTGGAGAGCACTTGGGCAGCTTCTGTTTGAGATTGCTTTGGAAGAACTCTGCATTTCATACTGCAAATGAGGCTGAAGCACAGAAATGGAGGCAAGGTGAACCAGAACTGCATGGCATTGTTGAGCCAAGATGCTCATGCAGGTGTAGCCTCTGCCCTACCAATCCTATTGCTTTAAATGTCACAGTCATGTTGGGAGCTCTGCTTTAAAAGCAGAGGAAAAATTATGAAAGGGCTCATAAACTGCAAAAATAACTTTATTTTCAAACAGTCAAGATTCCAAATAGGTGTATTTCTAAATTTATCTTATTAAAAGCAGGTTGCATTTTAAGGAAGAGGAAGGTAGTGGGGGAGAGTCAGTATGAAAGACTTAGTGACACCATGGTAATTACCCACCTAATTGCTGCCATACACAGGGAATTATTTACAATCTATCTACCTTCTCACTTCAAGTGAGAAAGCACTTGTGCTGTATCACTTCAGAGAGCTCTGTCAAATGCTGAAACACAGCACAGCCTAGAATAAAATGAGCTACAAAATGGTTTCTAACACCAGCAGCTGCACTCTTTCTGCCACTCTGAGATCAGGGGGTGCTGCAGGGCTCCAGGAGACTGGCAGCTCAGATACCATGAAGTAACAGATACCATGAAGTACAGTGATAAATGGGCAATGCCTTGAGAGAGAGCATTCCCTTCACCCCAGAGCACCTACAGCAATCCTCTGCATTTGCACTGCACTCTCATGCTGGTTCACACTTTACCTTCACAAAAGCACGCTGCAGATTTCCTTACAAAAGGAGTGCAGCCCTAAGGAGAGGGTGGTAAGCTGTGATGTAAACTCCGTGAAATGACATTAAAATGAAATGCTCTTCTTTTCTTTAGAATGTAAGTTTTACCAGAGAAATCTTGAACTAAGAGGCGAGGGCTACTTTTATTCGTTTATTTCCTTCACTAAAGAATTTTTATTACTTGTAGCTCCAGACTGTAAACAAAGTTAAACTTCAAGCTCTCAGAAGTCTGGTCTCGTTTCCAGGTACATAAAAGGTTACTTGCAACAAGCATAGCAAAGAACAACATGTCAAATCCTGCTATCTTCTGTTATACACTAGCACTGATTTTTATTTATCTATTTTTTAGTTCAGATATCACCCTGAGCTGTATAAAAGTTTAAGCTTTTGTCCATCCTTCCTGTCTTATGGGAGGCTTAAATGTCTGTAGAGAGAGAACTTGTCTGTGCAGTATTAGATTTAAATCTTAAAACCACAATGTCATATTCAAAATAAGTTTTCTCCAGAAAGTAGCACTGTGACACGTGTTTGGGTGATTTTATGCCAAAAGAAAACTAGTCAAAATTTAGGCTTCTTACTTCTTTAAATGTACACTTTTACCTTCTTCCTTTATCAAAATAACTTTTACTTGGAAAATAAACCACAGACCAAAGCAATGTGCTGATTTGCTTCTTTGTCACTCACCTATTTACTGGGGAACTGGAAACCATGTGTTTCCCATCCAGAGCTTCTGGAGGCTTTTCTTTGCTTTGATGCCCCTTTCCAGATGGGCCACATGAAGCTGACTCTGAGTCTTTATCTGGCTCATCTCGTTGATCACTTTCTATCTGAATTAAAGGCACTTCCCTGAGCTGTCCTGCAGGGAGGCTTCCAGAGCTCTTCACGTGTTCTTTTTTCTCATCCAAATTTACTTCCTCCATTTTGGGTTTGGGCTGTATCTGGGTTGTGCTTTGGGGATGTTTGCTTTCCAGCACGTGCTCTCGGCTTGTATAATCAAAGGAGTCCTGCTGGACAACAATTAAACTTTTACCACTTTCAACAATATTTGCAGCCAGTCTTTTTGCATATTGTTCCACATGTGGTGGAGAATCACTGTAAAACTGGTCTGCCTCTGTAGCCTCTGCCTCAAAATCTGCTATGATTTTGTTCTTGCGCATCAGAGACTCGATAGAGCTGGCCCAGGTCTCGTGGATCAGCATGTCTGTGATCTGGTCAGTCTTGCCCCTCTGGTACAGGCACGAGTCAGACTTGCAGAGCCCTGCAGAAGCCACAGTACTGACAGGCTGCACACTCAAGGAATCCTGGCGGTGGTGGGCAAACCCATCTAAGGAATTGGCTTTAATTGGGATGTTCACTGTGAGCCTAGAGCCTGAGGATCTACTGTCAGGCATTGATGACTGCCTGAAGCAGAAAGGTGACCGGAGAGAGGGTGCCAGCAAGCTGCCACACCAGTCCTTTGAATTCTGAGAGGATGAAGGATTATCTTTATTTTCCTTTTCGATTTCTCTCAGCATATACCTATAAAACTCTTCTGTTATACTTTCTGTGCTGGATTGTTTGGATGGGCAACTTGGTCTTACATTAAGATGGCCATTTTTCTTGGCTACCTGCTGCAAGGCAGAAGTTAAGATATTGTTTGCATTTTTCCCTGCATAATAATCCAGTAATAAATCAAAACCTCTTCCTTCGTTTTCCATCTGGTTCACCATAAATCTTGAAAATTCATCTGTAATGCTTTCACAACTAGACTGCTTTGAGACAGAACTTGTCTGGCTCAGAGAATGACCAAAGCTGTTCATGAGGCCCAGGGTATTGAAAGAGGCTTTGGAATCTGAGTCCTCCTCTGGTATGCTCTCACAGCTTGAGGCCTTGGCTCGGCTCCACCTTTCACAGTGCAGTCTGTTCCTGGGGTGGTTTGGACCTTGCCAGATGCTGTCGACCATGGAGAGTTCGGTGAGGTTCATGATCTTGGCAGCCACTTCATTTGCAAAGAGATTGACTGAATCTGGTGTGTCCTCAAGGTTTATAGATTCATCCACTACCCGATTCATCAATTTTTCCTTTAGTTCAGGATGCTCATCTGTTTTCCTTTTGATCTCACTAAGCCGAGGTGCCCTGTGCTTCCGAACCACAGACCCATTGGTGTGGGTTTCCTTCTTCCTTTTCATGGTTCTGCATGATAAACTCTGGGTCACCAGATATTCACTGCCTCTCTTCCATGCACAGAACCAGGGTTGCTTGCCATTTGAATTTTCTAGACAAATGGCAGCTATTTCTGTTGCCATAGAGACAACTGTTTCTGCCAATTCTTCTGCAAAGTCTGTTATACAATATTTGTCCCTTGTATTTTTCACCTGTAGCGAAGGCTGAGAAGGAAGCAAGCCATGGTTTCCTAACAAAGACAAGCTAAGTTGAATATCATTATTTAGCACAGAATCACACTTAATCTTGGCTTGGTTTTCTGTATTTATGGTGGCACTGGAAGACAGCTGTTCTTGAACACCGTGCCTGCATTCACTGTTTGCAAAGGTATTTTCTCTGTCTGAAAATGATCTGTAGTCTTTCTTCTGCTGATTGTTGCTCTGATTTGGGGATTTATAACAGTCTCGTGCAGTTCTTTTCAGGTATCTCTTCTTGGGAGATGTTTTTGCACCAAGTGTGTAATGCCCTGTATCTCCACTTGGTTCTGAATTCAGTGTGGAACCTTCTTTGCTATTTACATCTTTGATATTACTCTCACAAGTGCTTGTGACCTTTTCAAGGTCTTTGCTAGTACTGCTGCTGTAGGATGTACCGAATGGCTTAGTAGCAGACTGATCAAGGGGGCTGTGTGAAGTTTCACATGCTGTTGCCAGTGTTGGCCATCCTTCTGCTCTTGTTACTTTCTCTCCTTTTGTGCCCTCGGAAAAGAGAGGAGAACACTCTTCAACTTGCCTTATGTCGTTCATCTTCTTGCAAGTGAAATATATTACATTAAAAAGCAACTCGTTTGCAGTCTCTGTGAAAATGTCTTGTATACTTGAGCCATCCTCTGAATGGGCTTGTAGCTGTCTCTTTTTCCTAACCTCTTCCATAGAATGTCGTAGAATAATGTTGGATAAGTTTTGTGCAAGTTCATCCCTGATTACTCCATCAGTGCGTGGAATACGTGGTCTTGCTGCTGTTTCAATAATTTTCCCGTTTATACATTCCATAAAATGCCCTACATTTTTGTATGTGTTGGGTTTTGTCAGAATTACAGATGCCTCTTTGAGCAGCGCCTCTGCAATGCTCTCATTCAGCCTCTCCATGCTGCTCCCAACAGCTAAGCTGCAATGCAGGGTAATGGCTGCAGAGGCCTGAGCAGCAGACAGAAGTCCACTGGAAATTGCAGGGTACTTCTCTTCCTTCGTTTCCCCCAGGCCACAGATGGCCACAGCACTTGCTACTTGAGTCATGCCACAGAGTGCAGATGGGAAGGAGTATTCCGTGGCAGCACAGTCACCCAGGAGCTGGGAGGATGCTGCGTGCACCTCTGCATTAGCAACCACTCCACTTCTGGAGTCTGCCACTTCCTGGTCCCGGCGGAATTTTTCTGCAGCCTGGGGACTGGAAATGGTTCCAATGACAGTGGCTGCACAAGCCAGAGCCACTTCCAGTGCACTTTGGTCGTGTCCATCTGAATGTTCTTCCTCAAAGTCATCTGAAACTTCAGCAGAGCTTTCTGCCTCAGCCCAGTGGCCCAGGCTGGGGAAGGCAGACCCTGGCCAGTCTGGGACATTCTCAGAACTGTCTGGACTTTGCACTATGACAATCTTTGGGAGTTCATTCCATGATCGGGAAGCAGATCCATCTTCTGACTTACAGGAGCCTCCTACAGAGATGCTGACTGCAGCCTCCTCACTGAAACTGGGTCGAGACTGTGACAGTCTAATGAAAGCATCCTGCAGAACCGATTCTGCTAAATTTGTGGCGTACTGACCTGTGGTCGCCTGCTCATTCTGGGAGGGAGGATCAGTTTTCCTGATACCTGCACAATCTTCCTCATGTGTCTTGCTGCTGTGTTTCCTTGTGGGGTCACCCCGAGGCTCCAGCTCCTCTTTAGCCATTTTGGTTACAGATACATCTTCTAACATGAGTGCTGAGTTTTCTACTCCACCAGTCAAATCAGTAGTACTAAATGATGAAGTACCTTTTTCAGCTAATTCCTTCTGCCACGGCATTTCCTTGTCTGATTTATCTTCATGTCGTGAGATGCCATCTTCAGATAGAACATTCACAGTTTCAGAGACCTGAGTAGCTGCATTATCTTTACTAATGCAGTTCCCTTCAAGAATGAGTGGCAACCTAGCTTTTCTATAGTGAATGTTTTCAAATCCCTTTCCTTTATTTTTTTTGACATCTGAAGATGCTTCTGAAACATTTAATTTTTCATGACCTGTTGAGAGAAGTAAAAATTTAGTTTTTGCAGAATAACTTGTGACTTTTAAAAGAAAAGAGCTGCACAACTTAGTACTCCATTACTGCTCTGTAAAAGTACTGCATCTTTGTCTTTGAACAAAAATTTAAAAATATGAATGGCTGTCCATTTTCTAAATTACACATGCTTGAATTAACATCAAGTGCAATTTCTGTGAGCATTGCTATAGCTGTTTTGCAGTATGAACGACAGCAGAATTATGCTCAGTCCCCCTGCTTTTACCAGTTTTATATTCATCAGCCTCGTTGTCATCCTCAAGGTGCTCAGAGGCCGTGAGGAAATCTTCTTCTATTGAGGACACAGAGCAGTTTGTGTCATCCTCAGGCTTTAGGACACGAGTTTCTGTCTGCAGCTGCCTCTCCTGAACGAGCTCAAGTCCAATCAGAAACTTGTTTATTTCAAAAATGATGCAGCTTGCGCTGTTCCTCCTGTCCCCCCTCGCACACTGAACCAAGCAGACATCTGCCAGCCAAGGACACTAGAGGGGAAAAGAATCACAGTTATTCAATTAAAAAATAAAACTTATTTTAAGCTCCCCTGTCTATAAATATCTTGGGAATGTTCTGTTGCAAAGATGCAATACGATTTGTCTGTTCCATGTTAGTAACAGTATGCACTTACATGTATGCCAAAATAAGATTTCTTGGACTGACAGCTTTTGTTATACAAGTGTTTTAGTAGAGAAGCCAGCTGTATCACAGGGGATACTTGGCAATTTTGTGGAAATTTGTTTGTTTTCAATCAATTTGTTGTTTTAATGAAAGAGACTTATTTATGTTAGTCATCTGACTTGCTGTTATTAATGGCCTCACACTACCTGGTATTACCTCTCTGGAGGGAATTCTTTGTGGGCATGAATTCCTTCTCAGGGCCATTTCTGTTGCAACACTTGTTTGAAGACAGCCCTGTAACTATTGGCTGGTAAGATTGTGAAGAGCAGGCCACTGCTACATGTTCCAACATACCATTTTTAAATAGTTTTTTATTTTGTGTCTTTGCTGCTGCTCCTCTCATTCCCTCTTTGTCCAAAGCCCCATTATTTCAGGCAACTGATACAAGCTCCCACTGGAAATGAGGCTCCAGTGAACAGTGTGCTCAGCCTTTATATAAAACTTCTCTAGAAGTTTCTCAGAAAACTGCCTTCTCTAGAGGAGCTGTGCAATTAAGATGAAAGCTGGACAGAAACTGAGAGGAAGGAACTCTTGTTATCCTAATTTTACTGATATTAAAACAGTTGGACGTTTATACAACAGAGCTGAGTTGATGTCTCTGCATGGGGCCATG